AGTATCACATTTTACTAGTGTGTGCATGCACACCACACATGTTAGTATCACATTTTACTAGTGTCTGGTTGCACACCACTCGATTTAGTATCACATTTTACTAGTGTCTGGTTGCACACAACTCATATTAGTATCACATTTTATTAGTGTCTGGTTGCACACAATTCATATTAGTATCACATTTTACTGGTGTCTGCTTGCAAAATGAAAGCATTACATGGTAGATTTCAAACCCTGTACAAGTAAAGCTAAAATCTGTCAGTTATTCACAAAGCTTTCTTTCTTGGGTATCATTAAACTAGTGGAATTGATGAGAGCTATTAATTATTGCTCAAACTGCAGGTTTATCTTGCCATGGTATGTTGTTTTTCCCACATGATACAGTATGTTTCATATGTCTTATTTAATTAGTCCTGGGAAACAGTGTCACTTGAAATAATGATGTAGATTGAAAAAATGAATTTTTTCCCATGAAACAGTTTATTTTCTTTTATTACTGGGATTATAAATTAAATTGAACAAAATTTTTATAAGCTTTTTTTTATCAAGTTTAAATAATTACTGCTGTGTAAGCTGATTGAGTTAATTTTCATAAGTACTGTTATAAGTCAGGCTGATTTTTCCTTTGCAGTCACTTGGAAAATCTTCATGACTTCTTATTTTTGCTTGTGATTTTTACAGATGTGGTGAAAACTGGGATTTAAACAGTTCAATTACAGTGATGAAAAATGTAGTTCATCAAATATTACAAGGCTTAGATGTATTAAGATTTCGTGTAAATTAACTTATATCTGATTATTGTTATTGATTTTTTTGCATAGCTGTAGTTTGAAACAGTCTTAGTGAGTGTGATTTTTTTTCTGTGTTGCAGTATTGTTCCTGTTGTTGTTCCCATCCTAGGTCATGTAAGTTGTTCTCCTGTTACTTTAAAAACATTAACTGAGTTTTTATAACACACTAGGTTTCTCATAGGCTCAAAAGGCATAAAACCTAGTTTGCTTTTATATCCTTTCTTTGGGGGGGGGGGGACTATTTTGTGAAAATCACTAAGCATAACATTTGTGATAAAACCCACAAGAACTGTAGATATTTTTTGTTATAGATGTTATTGGATTATTTTTGAATATATAATATAAGAACTTTTCTGAAAAAAAAACAAATAATGAATAACACAAAGTGCTTTATGTAAAGCTATAAATATAGTCTCTAAGAGATGAGAATTAATGTTACATAAGTTTCAGTTGACACAGTTTTATCGAAGTCACTATGTTGTGGTACACATTAACAATCAGGCCACTTGTTTTTATATAACAGTATTTGTGGCATACTTTAACTGTAAGGCCACTTGCTTCTATATAATAGTAGTTGTGGCATACTTTAACTGTCAGGCCAATTATTTCTATCATACAACAGAAGTGCAAAAAGAAACAATATGTAGAAAGGAGATATGAAATGTATCATTTGGAAAAACTCAAGTTTGTAAAATGTTTAATTTTTTTCCTCCTGAAAAAATGTTAAAGTCTTGAAAAAGTTATTTCATTTCTGTGACTATCTGTCCAAATTTTCAGTTTTTCTGAGTTAGAACAAGAGTAAATGAACATGTCAATTCTGAATGTTTAATGTATTATTTTAAAAATATCACAAATAGACCATGCATACACCATAATAAATGGTATTACTTAATCGTATTATAGTGTAATTATTACTTCACATCACAATAAAGGATATTACTTAATTGTATTATAGTGTAATTATTATTTCACACCAACAATAAAGTATAGTGCTTAATCGTATTATAGTGTAATTATTACTTCACACCACAATAAAGTATAGTGCTTAATTGTATAATAGTGTAATTATTATTTCACACCACAATAAAGGATATTACTTAATTGTATTATAGTGTAATTATTATTTCACACCACAATAAAGTATAGTGCTTAATTGTATAATAGTGTAATTATTACTTCACACCACAATAAAGTATAGTGCTTAATTGTATAATAGTGTAATTATTATTTCACACCACAATAAAGGGTATTGCTTAATTGTATTATAGTGTAATTATTATTTCACACCACAATAAAGGATATTACTTAATTGTATTATAGTGTAATTATTATTTCACACCACAATAAAGGGTATTACTTAATTGTATTATAGCATAATTATTATTTTTCAGCTGCTGGAGTACAAGTTGATGATCAGGGAGGCCAGAAGGTGATTAGAAATGAAGCTGAAGGTGTCATCTATAGTTATTCATGTTTCCACCTTTTGGCCTGCTTAGCCTCTCTCTATATTATGATGCAGCTCACTCACTGGTTTAGGTATGTTTTTTGTTAAGGAATGGAACCTTGTCTTCACTTACAGCTAATTATTTGACTGTTTATTGCTTTAATAGTGAAGAATAGTTAGATTTTAATTATATAAAATTATTTTTCATTATTCATATCCTTTTGTATGAGTAGGATATCATTAGAATGAATTTTAATTTTTTTTAGACCTGAACAGGCACAGTTGATATCCTTCGAGAAAAATTGGGCTTCTGTTTGGGTAAAGATGGCATCATCTTGGATATGTATGCTCATTTATATCCTAACCCTGGTAGCCCCTGAACTTTGTCCTGGTCGGCTGAACAGAAGAAACCGACAACAACCCCAGAACATTGAACTCCACCAGGTGAACCAAAGATCTAGACCGAATCACTAAATGGAGAAGATTGATAAAAGAAATGGGGATATTGCACCAGTGTGTTAATAACTAAACTCATAATTTCTTGAATTTTGGAAGGAAATATGTAAAACCATCTGAACTTTATAACATTAATGCTATATTGTCTTGGGCAATTTTAAAGAGTGGGTTAAACTTTTATTTTGTAGCTAGTGGTTCAAGAGTAGTTTAGAATTGTTAGCAGGACGTTTGTAAAATTAAAGGTGTATTTGTCATAATATGTAGCTATATATATATGAAAGACATATATTTCATGTCACTAAAAGCAGTGTTATTCAGAAACTCAGTTGTCAGTGACATGGATGTGAACAAATTTTAAAAGATATAGAAAAAATAGCAACAGCAGTCCATGAATATGATGCAGAATCTTAAAGAAAAGTTTTCATACTTCTTTGCAAAAACCAAAACACCTCAGAAATAGAATATTACATAAATATACATATTATATTGTGATATTAATTAGAGCCTTATACATGTGCTTTTATCTCTCTTTCTATATATATATATAAAGTATTTTTATAATTTTCATCTTCATTGCTGTATTCTGTGTTTCTCCACGTGAACATTCTCATCTTGCCAATAACCCTGAAAAGTTCAAGTTGTGTAAGCTCAAACAAAGATTTCTATATAACTGATCCTTGTAAACAGCTGATTAAAGAAGACATAAGGATGAACAATAAGAATATCCTGTAAGAACAGTCTTTCAGCTATTGTGCTTTAAATCAAGTTTTCAATAGATCAGTTGTTATTTTAATAGAATTTAAGTAACCTTAGTTTTAGAGACAACAAATGGTTATTGTTAGGTGTTTTATGTGCTTTTTAAATCAATAAAATATCAAGATCTGATATTTTTTATTTACTGTTTGCTCTGATGAAAAAGAAAGTTGTGATTTTAGTTTGAAAATACATATGTTGTGCTTTTATGAGTACCTAACTTACTGAAAGTGTGCAACATAAGGTTTGAATATTGGTGTTACTACACTAGGCTTTAATCAGTTAAAGATAATAAACAACGATATAAGTGTTATTGTCATTACTAGATCTTAATCAGCTAGAAGACAGTATTGTATTATATGCAATTTAAGCCTGTTTCTAAAGGCCAAGAGATGTATTAGGTTAGCCCATGGAAACAAACATTTTACCCATCATTCAATAGTATTATGTTTGAAAATTTTGTTTTTAGTTTTAATAAATGAAAGGTATAAAATTTCATGGACATTTGTATTCTACTTGTTTGTATTAAATTGCTCAATGATGTATTAAAATTTCTCCTAGTATTAGTTCTGAGAGTGGTTTTGTAGATTTACGATAGTAACATAAGTCACTATTTTATTTTATTATTTCAGTTTTAGAATCTTCACTGTTTTTATAGTTATATCTGTAGATGTATATATATATAATAAATGATTGTAAGAAGAAATCAATATATAATATATATATATTACGTATATATATGGATGTGCATTGATTGTGCAATATTGCAGACTAATTTACTTATTAACATGTATTTTTATTTTTGTAGAATTTTATTGCAGAGGTTCTTATTTGTTTTTCAATTCATGTAATACTTCATTTAAAAATGAGCAGAAAGATTGTTCTGTTACAGCAAGAAACATTTCTTATTATCAATAACTCCACTACTGAAGGGTTAGTTATACTTCTAAATTATCCTAAACCCATTCACCAAAGGTTGTTTTATAATTGTTAATCCCACTTTGTTGTTTTCATTCAAAGGGAACCTTCCTACTTTTCTTACCCTTAAGTAAAAGAATCAATGACACCCTTTACAACCTATTATCAACATGGCTATTTGTTCTTCTCATTGAAATGAACCCTTCCTACCTTTCTTACCCTTAAGTAAAAGAATCAATGACACCCTTTACAACCTATTATCAACATGGATATTCGTTCTCATTCAAATGAACCCTTCCTACCTTTCTTACCCTTAAGTAAAAGAATCAATGACACCCTTTACAATCTATTATCAACATGGCTATTTGTTCTTCTCATTCAAATGAACCCTTCCTACCTTTCTTACCCTTAAGTAAAAGAATCAATGACACCCTTTACAACCTATTATCAACATGGATATTCGTTCTCATTCAAGAGGACCCTTCCTACCTTTCTTACCCTTAAGTCAAAGAATCAATGACACCTTTTACAGCGTATTATCAATATGTAGATGTTTCAAATGTTTTCTGTACTTCTGCACAAAATTAAGTTCTTGTAACTTAAGAATAATTAAATATTTTAAAATTTTCAAATATTTGTAAAATCAACCAATCTTATACTAATAATCATTGTATTGTTGTTAAAAGGAGATGTTTGTAGAAGTTGATACCTAATGCAATAGTTATGTATCTCAAGTATCTTATTAGGTATATGTCAGTTGTATTTAATTGCTCTTTGGAAGAGTTTCCAATGGTGAAACTAACATAGAACTGTTGGTAGGAGAATAACCTTGTAAAACAGAGTAATTATCATTAAAAAAATTTCTAATTACTTTCATTTATCCAATATTAGAGGATGAATGTAAGAGCAGAGTTCAGGTTGTATGGGTTTTGGGGTATAATTTGTTTAATATTTGAATTATACATTTGAGCTGTGCTAGTCCTTGTTTTCCAAATTGTAGGGTGAATCAAATATTTTGAATTGTCAAATGTTACAGTATTTCTTGACTGAACCTGCTATTACTGTAGTTTTAGTTTGAGACCTGTAAACAGTCACCATTTCTGCAAAATGCTGCATGTGTGTGTTGTGGCCATAAAGTGTTTAATTCAAGTTTTTGTGAAGAGATTATAAGTTACTTGACAAAAGTGTAATATTACAATTTGTGTTTTTTCACTTTAAGTATTTAAACAATACATATAATAAAGATATGTTTTTTTGAATACTTGTTAGTTGTGGATTAATTTAGATATGTTCATTCAGCTGTGGGACGTTATAACCTTGCGGTCAATGCCAATATTCGTTGGTAAAAGAATAGCCCAAGATTTGGCAGTGGTTGATGATTGCTAGCTGCCTTCCTTCTAGTCTATCACTACTAAATTAGGGACAGCTAGTGCAGATAGTCCATTTTGTAGCTTTGTACAAAATGCAAAACAAGTCTAGTTTTGTAAGTATTAAGGATAGAATGAAATCATAACTGACTTTTTTGCCGATTTATTTATTCATTTATGGCTATGAAAATAAGTATTACAACCATTACTCGAGGAAGGGTCCCTAATGAGTCAGCGATAAGTTTATTGACTTACAACTAGTACTTAGATGAGACATTTTTAAGTTTGATATGAAAGCTGGTCATGTGTGAGATCTCCATGTCGAAGGTTAAATAATAAATATGTTGATGAAAGAAATAAAATAGAAATATAGATTAAATAACTTTTTGATCATTCAACTTCAAATGTTCAGTGTTTGCCATAATAATATAAATGTGTAAGATAATCGAAACTTTCTGTGGTAATGTGTCATCTCTATCCTGATCTTATTACATTGAAAATACAATTTCAAATTATTTGATATAAATAGATTTGCTGTAAAAAAAGCTGTTATATTCATGAAGACTTACTCTCCTAACCATCATCAAGACTCTGTTTCTTTCATCAACAAGTAGCTTGACTTTATTTTGAAGCACAACACGAGTTATGCTCTTCCCACTGCGATTAGCTAAATTCTGGGAGGTTCAACTTCTATTGACCATTGTTGACAAAATTTGTTGCTCACGAAAATCCAGGGTTTATTTGAGAAATTCAAATGTTATATGCTGTTTCTCCCTAATGTTCTTAATTGGTTTGTTTAATACAAGAAATAACTTTTCAAGGAATTTCTCGTACAGTGTTATAGACAAAACACATGAGCCTGGGTATCCAACAGATATAACTACCTTGTTGGTCAATCAACTTAAATAACACATATCTTCGGTGTTATTAATAGGTGAGTAATTTGAAGCAATACCTTTAACACTAGATATAGCGATATAAGCCTTCTGGACTTGAAATTTAAATAATGTGAAAATCAATTATTTGTCAGCGATAATCATGTCTTTTTTCTAGTAAGTATGTAGACCGACAGATGGCACTAAACGTACTAGAAAACTGAGTGCCGATAACAGTCTACGCAAGAAAATATCATCATCAAGTGCTCTGCTTTGTAGAGATCATGTCCCTCCACCTTTCCCGGTCTCAGACACTTGTGATTACATCAGTCACACTCTCTTTGTGTAGCCAGATTGTTAAACTGTCCAGGATCTTCTCTCGCTGTCTACCTTTACATCGTGTCTCATAAATTTCCTAAATGTTCCATCACTCATCACACGACCAAATAATGCTGCTTTGTCTTTTTCGTATTAATGTTCTTTTTGTTTCTGCTTGTTGTTGAACTTCTTCAGTTGTTTTCCGGTATTGCAAGAAGATATACGTGAATATAAACTGTAGTAACGATAATAAAAGTTATACCGTTTAATATATAATGTAAAATTGTGTGAACTGATAAAGCCGTTAATAACGTTTGTCATAAGAAACTTTTTATGTCAAACAATGTGTTGTGTTTCACATGTTAGTATATCAAACGTGTCATGTTCCACATGTTAATGTATCAAACAAGGTGTCGTGTTCCACATGTTAACATATTCGCGGCGTAATTGATTTCTCTAATTGTGCAATAGGAACGTTAAGCCTCATTGTGAACTCTGTTTTAAATACTGTTAATTTAATGGCTTTATGTTATGTTTTATGTCAGAATGACTGCATTGACATCTTTCTCATGAGTGCATCACCGGTGGTACATGAGTCCTCGCCCATTTAAGCTTTGGCGGTCATGTACAATTTTAAAATAAAAAGTGATTAAATCGAATAAATTTGTTATATTTCAGTTGTCCTTTCAACATGGCATTCGTACTCCACCAGTGGTACATAATGGAAGGCGTGGCTTTATCATAGCCGTCCGTACCAAATATATACTTTCATATAGAACTTTGGAGATATGAGGTGCAATTATATCTTATGTACCACGGGTGGCACGCGTCGTCCAACAGAAAACATGCAAATATACCACCGGTGGCGCACAATGTCATGAACGTGCTAATATATCAAACAATGTGTCAGGTTCAACATGTTAATATATCAAACAATGTGTCATGTTAATATATCAAATAATGTGTCGTGTTCCACGTGTTAATATACCAAAAAATATGTCGTGTCCCACATGTTAATGTATCAAACAATGTGTCGTGTTCCACATGTTAATGATATTTTTTATATCAAACAATGTTTTGAGTTACACATTTTAATGGTATTTGTTGTAACAAATTTCTATGTCAAACATTATGACGTGTTACACATGTTAATGTTGTTCTTAGTGTTTTTTATAACTAACTTATTATATTAAACTGTGTTTTAAACTACTAAATATCATTTATATAATTAACTTCTTATATAAAAGAATGTGCCAAGTTACACGTATTAATGGTACATGTTGTAACAAAACCGTTATATTAAACGAAACGTTGGGCTGAACAATATGTTGATAACGTTTGTTTCAAGAAAACTATAATTTTGTATACTTTGTTGGATCTTAGAAATGGATACATAGAGCAATTCAACTCTTGTGATTTTCATTACTGTGTGATACTCTTAATAAATTTCCTAAAAGTTTAGTATCGAATCCAGCAGAGGATATTTCGATATGAACAAGTAAGACTATATTTAAAAAGAAGTTATGTCAGTGTTCAGATTAGAGATTAGTTTGTACTATCATTAAATATTGTTTGTGTGATTCTAGATATATATATTGTATTATAGATATTTCCATTTAAAAGTTTCTCAAATGAACAGAAAATATAAAAGTTATTTCTTCAAAGTTTAATTTTCAAAGGTAAGCTGGTAATAATCTAAAATGCCATACCAATTGAATTTGGTATCTTATTTAGTCTCTTGTCTTTTTTAGTTAGTTAATTTTTGTTAACTAGTCATTCAAGTTCAAATCTATAATAACATTCACTGCTTTTTCTCTCCTAATCCGGACCTGCTTTGAACTTATGGTGAAAGAATGGGGTTTTCTGTCATTCATTTACCATGAATGTGGATTTTCTGTCATAACTTCTGATCAATGAATGGAAGTTTTCTGTCATAACTTCTAGTGAAAGAATGGGAGTTTTCTGTGTTAACTTCTAGTCAATGAATGGAGTTTTCTGTCATAACTTCTGGTGAGTGAATGAAGAGTTTTCTGTCCTAACTTCTAGTAAACGAAATGGGTTTTCTGTCATAAGTTCTGGTGAACGAATGGTGGGTTTCTGTCATATCACTGTGTTGTATATATCCTGGGTTTGTATTTGTCTGGTTCTGAAATCCGAGAAACGAGCTGTCCGAATTATTCTACTTGTCCGTTATATTTTCTGTGAACTTGCCAATACGATAGTGACACCAATTGGAAACTAGAAACAATTAGTCGAGCCTTGGCATCGTAAGAATGTTTATAAAGCATAAATAATCTACTATGGTAATGAAAATGTAATGCTTTTACAAAGCAAGTAAATAAGAATAGAATATTCCTTGAACAACGTTTAGTTATAGTGCAGAAGGTGGAGTACACTAAAGGGAAAATACTGTAAGAATATTATAGAAATTATTTAAAAATAAAAAACTTACAATACTCCACAACAATGGAATCTAAGAGAAAACACTTCATTTTCCTAGAGAGTTGTGGATGGATTGTATCTGAAATAAACAACGAATCATTTCATCATATATTGTAGTGTTTACCTGTTATCTAGACACTCAGTGATTGATGTTGAGATTTTATTAACTCTGTAGATTTCTGTTTTATTTTTAAGTGAACCAGTTCTAAGTTGTTAGTTAATATGACTACGACCAAGGATCTATTGCAGTCAATGTGTTGTTTAAAATTATGTCAAATCTTCAAGATTTAGTTTCTTAAACGTCTTAAAGAGGAACGACGGTACGAAATTTGCTTTTAATATCTGGTCTAATGTTTTCTTGTTACCATGGCTACGAGATCTCTATTAGCAACCAGGGCTCTCCTTCATAATTACAGCATTTCTATTGGAGTTCTGGAGTGGCGCAGTGTCTTTCACCTCTGCATAGTTGTGACGTCAGCATTTCAAGACACCGAGAACTCGCTGTTCCAACATGGCCGAACTTTAATGTTCACCCGAAAGCTTGATCATTGGACATTAGCGAAAACAGCCCAAACTATGAAGGTTATCAGTTACCCCAATGGTCATTTAAGGTAAGGGTTAAGGTGTTTCCGTTGCTTACCTCACTTAAGCGACCAGGGAAGCTAAAGAAAAGGCAACAATTAAATTTCTCTGTCTGTTTATAGTTACATCTGTTTATTTAATCAACTATTACGTTATTAATCTCAACCTAGTTTACTCCTGGTTTTTTATTATTTTAAGGGCTACACTGTTTACTCTTTACTAATATAAACCTTTTAGTGCTTGAAACATCTAAATTTAAAAGTTAAAACTCATGACAAATGTCATAATATTACTATTCTAAGTAATTTAATCTTTTGAACGAGAGTAACAGATCATTGCGAACGATATCGGAGTTTACCAGTTGCCAAATTTCTACATATTTGTTAAAAAGTATTTCTTTCGGGATAAAATAAAACTAGTGGCAATCAGTCCAAACCAGTTTCACGCTGTATTTTCACAAAAAGCGCAAATAATCAAGACGTTCTGACTAGTTTTGCACTACCTCGTCTTCTTCCCTTTCGATATTTTGAAATGTACCAGTTTTTTATGAACAAAGAACGAAATTATTTGATGAGGAAGATAACAAAATATCTTCTGAAACTCAAAAGTTCTTATTTTCAAACGTACGAAACGACCTCTATAGATAGAATTACTGAAAGATTAATCAAAAACATGCAGACAAATTCGAGACAACATTTTAATCTAACATGCTTAACTCTTCAAAACATTTATTTTATTTCTGTAAAAAAGATTAGGCCAACATATGCTATAATTTCCATCAAAAATGGCCAGGTGGTTGGCGCTCGACTCGCAATCTGTGGGTCGCGGGTTCGAATTACCGTCTCACTAAACATGCTCGCCCTTTCAGCCGTGGGGGCGTTATAATGTGACTGTCAATCGCACTATTTGTTGGTAAAAGAGTAGCCCAAGAGTTGGCAGTGGATGGTGATGACTAGCTGCCTTCTCTCTAGTCTTACACTGCTAAATTAGGGACGGTTAGCGCAGATAGCCCTCGTGTAGCTTTGCGCGAAATCCATAACAAACACTCCATCAAAAATTTTTAAAAAATCAACCCACTCTGTTTCGAGAATGGGGTTATTTTTTAAAACTTCACCCAACTTATTCTAACTTTTATAAATAAGAAAGTATATTTAATTATAGTTAAACTCATTTCACAGAGTTGATTTATATATATCTGTTGTTACCAGTATCAGGATCTGACATTATAGTTATCCTCATTTCACGGGGCTTATCTATATATCTGTTGTTACCGATATCAGTATCTGACATTTATAGTTATCCTCATTTCCCGGGGTTGATTTGTATATATATATGTTGTTACCAATATCAGTATCTGACATTTATAGTTATCCTCATTTCCCGGGGTTGATTTGTATATATATATGTTGTTACCAATATCAGTATCTGACATTTATAGTTATCCTCATTTCACGGGGTTGATTTATATATATATATGTTGTTACCAATATCAGTATCTGACATTTATAGTTATCCTCATTTCATGGGGTTTATCTATATATCTGTTGTTACCAATATCAGTATCTGACATTTATAGTTATCCACATTTCACGGGGTTTATCTATATATATCTGTTGTTACCAATATGAGTATCTGGCATTTATAGTTATCCTCATTTCACGGAGTTGATTTATATATATATGTTGTTACCAATATGAGTATCTGGCATTTATAGTTATCCTCATTTCACGAAGTTGATTTATATATAACTGTTGTTACCAATATCAGTATCTGACATTTATAGTTATCCTCATTTCACGGGGTTGATTTATATATATATCTGTTGTTACCAATATCAGTATCCGAAGTAAAAAGATAACAGGACAATAAACAATAAGAAACAGGGTAATGAATGTAAAAAACTTGTCTTGCGTTCGCATCCCGTTACCGCCAAAAAAGAACGTGCTCTGTAACTATGGGAATGTTATAAGAGAGAAAGTAACATCCAATTATTCTATCACATAAGAGTAATCCAAAAGTCGACCGTAGCTGCTGTTGTCCAACTGCCTTTCAGTTCTAGCTCAGTTAGCCCTCGAGTAGCTTAGCTTTTCGAATATCCGAACAGAGCAGTAACCAGTGTGAGAATAATAATAAAACAGTGATAATAATGTAAGGAAAATCAAGCTTTACTAGTACTGACAGTTGAACAAACTATCCTATGAATTGCTTAGTTGCTAGGTTACAGAACGTTAGTTATTTTACGTGCACCTGTTTCTTTACTGACTTTCAACCTTACGTTATTCTGGTGGATACGGATTTATTATATGTTTTTATCTTTGCGTTATTGCACCTGGCTCCAGTTGCGCTTCTAGGAACCATAAATCGTTCGATCAATGTATTTTAATAACAAAGTTCCTACCTATGATCGCTTCGAATCTCCAATACTTACCGTTCGGAAGACGTGAACGGTGGAGATCAAGAAGAAACAGATTACCGTTAGGAGTAGTGGTTGTCTGTCTGTCTACTGATAATAGCAACTAACTATTAAGTGTGTAGTTGTTTTACTTGACGATGTTAGGTTCCCTATGACCCGTACGTGACTACAGCTAGCTCACTGCTCAGTTAGCTTTAAATCAACCCCGTGAAATGAGTTTAGCTATAAATGTCAGAGACTGATATTGGTAACAACAGTTATATATAAATCAACCCCGTGAAATGAGGATAACTATAAATGTCAGTTTTTACATTCACTTCCCTGTTTCATGTGCATTCAGTTTCTAAATTCATCGCTATTATGTTACTCTTTATACATAGTTCATTACCCTGTTATCATTTTTAATTCGGTTTCTACATTCATCGCTATTCTGTTACTATTTACACATTGTTCATTACACTGTTATCCTTTTTAATTCGGTTTCTACATTCATCGCTATTATGTTACTCTTTATACATAGTTCATTACCCTGTTATCATTTTTAATTCGGTTTCTACATTCATCGCTATTCTGTTACTATTTACACATTGTTCATTACCCTGTTGCCCTTTTAATACGGTTTCTACATTCATCGCTATTCTGTTACTCTTTATGCACTACTGTCTGATATGCGTCTGTTTGACGCTATTTTGTTCGACAATTTCATATTTTTCTCAGTTTCTCTCTCTTTCATGTTATCACACCACGGTAATTTTACACTTACTTCCATCATCTGTTGTCTACTCCTAAGATCCGTTTTTATCAACTTGTCACTTTTATAAAACCGGTTTCACTTGTTATGTGTGATTTACGAACTGGATAAATCTCGGTCACGTACCTGGTGACATTTGAGGAGTTTTACGAATGGATAAATATTGATCACGTGCCAAGAGACATTTGACGAGTAAGTATCTCTGGATCTGATCTACGACGAAACTAAGACAGTAATCAGAGGGTCTGTCAACCAGAGTTATTTCTGCGACGTATATTATGAAGTTTGATTTCAATATTTTAACTTATGCTACTGCATAAACTGGGAGAAAAATAATACCAAATATCAAATTAAATAAATATAGTACTTGAGAAAACTTTAAATAATTAAAGGGAATACGGATTAACCTGGTGAAACGTTGTAACCATAAATATTATATTCTGTACATCCGACAATAAACAGGTTTTAACTTACTACGTTTTTGTTTAGGCGCGGAGTCAAGTAGACATTACCAAGATTACAACCAGGAACCAACGGTTATAAAAATACAAAACAATAGATAAGAAATGAAAATCAATACCTTAATTGTACAACAAATAGCTAAAATATTGATTCCATAATGAAAATATGACAATGTTAAATGAAATACAAATAAAACAATATGTCAAAAACAACTACTCCCACTAACTAATCTCTGTAACAAAACACATGTAACAGGTCAAAACAAAGAGAGTTAAATCCCCTGTAAAATGTAAACATAATAAACCTTAAGAAGGTTCAATAATAATCAAAGACTTAGAAAGGAAAGTTAGAACAGTTGTAAATATGGCAAAGAAAGTATTTTGTAAAACCTAATTTAACTTAACCAATGACGTAATGTTATATATACTATATTCTCAACTATTATATAAAAATAGCTTCAATTAACGGGAGTATACACTAAAGAAGTTTACTATTATCTGAAGTAATTAAAGTATGGTATTTTCAACTATTATATAAAAATAGCTTCAATTAACGGGAGTATACACTAAAGAGGTTTACTATTATCTGAAGTAATTAAAGTGTGGTATTGTCAACTATTATATAAAAATAGCTTCAATTAACGGGAGTATACACTAAAGAGGTTTACTATTATCTGAAGTAATTAAAGTATGGTATTGAAAGTTTTTTCGAAGATAATGGTATTCTACAAAACTTCTAATCAGTAGCAAAAATATTGTTAAATTTCTTAAAGAATTGAAATAATTTTGTTTAAAGTGCAATAGGAAATATCTAATTTGTGAAATATCAAGAAGTCTTGTAATGTTGATCAATTTCTGTTGTATCTAATAAACTGTGAGTAGTAACCATTGTATGGTAGAAACGCATTAGTGCTAACCTAATGTAATAACAGCAGTTGTATGCAAAGGCACGAAGTTTCTGTTCTCTTCATACTGCGCATGCGCCTTTCCTGCTTTAACTTCCACTAGAATAAATATCTTCGATGTCCGGCTAGGAAAGAAGAATGAGTGTTGAGTGTTGTACAAGCACGTGTACGAATATCCATTCATGTAAACTTTCTGTGGTCCATTGGCGCGTGGATCGCGAGTGTTTTGCAGTGAGTACATACATCTAGGCATAAGATCGTCTACCTGTATATTTATAAAGCAGTTTCTCTGAGTTACTGTGCTAGAAATATCTCAGGTGGATTCAAATTACTGAATGTGTATCGTTTTATGTCTTTTGGGTATAGTGAAGTCGTTATCTGAGATATAAAACCAATGTCTTTTGGTATAGTGACGTTGTTATCTGAGATATAAAACCAATGTATTTTGGTATAGTGACGTTGTTACCTGAGACATAAAAAACCCATGTCTTTTGGGTAT